TTGAAACACTGGTTCCCGTACGATCACCAAATTTAAGCAATGTCAAGCTTGGTCAGCATTTAGATGGGTGACCGTTTAGAAATACCAGGTGCTGTAAGCTTGGATGTGCGGATGGTGTACTAAATAAGGATTCAGAATTGTTGGGAGTTTCAATCCCCATTATTTTAAATTCTCGTTATATTTATTTATGCGCAAGTACGCTTGTGAAAATATTGAATTCACCTATTCTCCCCAGATATGGATTATTTTGCATTATTAAATCATTATCTTGAAAAAATTCTTACAATCTAAAAATATTTCATTACTTTAAATAACCAGCAAATGTTTGATAATTCATAAAAAGGAATCGGTCACTATGTAATCTAAGATATTAAATTTCTGAATAATACCAATGTTTTAGAATAGAGGTTATCATGGTTCTCCAAAATTCCTCCTTAATGAATTGGCATGATGTCTTGGGAAATATAATGGTTACCTTATCTAGAGTTTTGAATCCAAGATAGTCCCCCGTCTACACTAACTGCGACCCGCGTCTAGGCTACCCAACGATTTAACTTATATTTGTGGTTGGATGCAAGTAAAATGAAGAAAAATGGGTCAATGACTTTCCCAAGGGCATGATGTCAAAGTAAACGCAAGTCTTTTCCGGAATATGAAATCGTTTCACCAATTCCAGTTTTCCTGTCAATAACTGTTACGCTATCCCCACAAGGGGAAATTCAATAGGACTAGAGAAAAGATTAATTCCTACAACATTGTGTTTCGGATGATAAAGTTTTTTTTTTTTTTTCAATTCTTGACTATAAATATATATCGACTGCATCGAAATTATTTTATCACGCAAGTAGTTGTTTGGTCTATAAGTTTATGAGTATTTTCATTCAGCTAATGACTAAATTATAAATAAAATATGTATAATTAAACGTAAATTCTAAGCTGTTTCTTTTCTCTCGCTTCTTTTGTGGAACACTCTTCCGAATCCATGCTTTCCAATCAAACTTAATCTTCAAAGATTTAAATGTAATATTTCTGTTTTCAAATTCTTCCACGCCTAGTTACCCCTTTATTGCCTTGTTTGGTAAATCGCTTAAAACAATAATAATCTCCTATCTATAAAAAGGTGTGTGTGTGTGTGTGTGTGTGTGTGTAACGAATGCACGGCCGCAATTTTTTGACAGTTGAAAATTAAAATTTACATGCACATGCTCCAAGATTAGCGGGAAGGTTGAGACCATTTGCATTTCTAACCCCATCGAGTAGTAGTTGCGGCCATTTTCTACTGGCCGAGTGAGCCCTAAAGCTGGCTGCCAAGAATAGGCAGGAGGTTTCAACAGCTGACTGACACGAATGCTTCGTCACAAGTGGGAAAAATTTAAATCTGCATGGCACTTTACTCCAATTGGCTCATTCGCTTGCTTAAACTCAACGTTGATTCTGATTCCGCAGAACGCGGTTGGGCGTGAAAAAGTATTTGTTGTTAACATTTTTTTTCATTCGGTTTTCCAGTTATTTATCTTTTAAAGCTGATCGTTTTGTGTTCATTTTGTTTAGTTCTTATTTCGTAACAGATTTAATGTTTAGTATAGAGCTTAGAAAAAATTCGCAGTGTGAGATAGGCAAGAAGTAAGGCACGTAGCAACATCAGCACGGAAAAGAGCACTCCTTTAAAGGCAAGGAAGTGCAAAAATATTTTAAGTCAAGTGATAGCGATTCCTGTATGAGTCGAACGATTTTTGAATAAAGCACGGGCAACGCCGGGCCATGCTGCTAGTATTGAAATATATGTATAATTTAGTAGTAATTATGAAATATTTAATGGTAATCCTCGAGGTATTTTTTGTCTACGAAAAGCATAACATTGGAAATACTTTGATTTAGTTTAACATAATATTGGCCCCTCAATAAAGTCATTTGTTTTAATCATTTTAAGCAAGGCAATAAAAATCAATAAAATGAAAGGGATTTTTGATTGAAACTGATGACAAAAGAACAGGTTTCAAGGAGACAGAAAATGTCGATTGATGTTAGCTTTTAATGTTAGCAGATCATAATTTAAATGAAGCAAAGAACCAGAATAGTTCCATGAGTGAGAAATGCAAGAGGAGAAACTATTAGCATAAAGTAAGGTTACATCTAGCAATTTCAACAATGGAATTATTAAGACCTACCTGCCAATCCAGTACTGCGCGTAAATTCATAATGTCGAGGTGCCAAAGAACTATTACCGCGACGATATTAATAGAGATGGTAGAGTGAAGCTAATGGGGTTGCTTGCCGTACAGTCGTACGGGGGCACTGCATATAATTGAATGGACATTGGTTAGTCTAGTGTATTGTGAAATATTAGAAAGTAATGTGCTTCGATTTCTGAAATTTTCAGGAATATAATAATGATGCGCACTATGTTGCCAGAATCAAATAGCGGTTCCAGGAGAAGATAATATTTTAGAGTGGCCTAGTCAATCACCTTCCCTAAATCCTATAGAAAATAAATGGAGGGATTTTAAACATTCATCGGAAATTTGGGTGATGTTAAGGTCAACAAAAGTGGGATAAATTTGGCGTTAAATGCTGCAAGAACCTTTGTTAATGTATTCCAAATGTCTGCCAGCTGTTATGTCAAATAATGGATACATTGTTAAATACGGAACACCTTTTATTGACACATTGTTAGTGTTACTTTTTTAAAATTATATGTTGGAAAGATTTTATTTCTCCTATAGTATATTTTTATAGTGTATCTTAATCTATTACATTCAGCACCATTCAATTAGAAATTATTTTCTCTATAATTCCATGACTAATATTTTTTATTTTAAGTAATCATACTTGTCTATATTCAACTTTTTTTTATTTTATGTTTAAATGATGAATATTTTCTTCTATATAATTTTCAACCAACTAAATGTTTAATATAAAAAAAAAAAAAAAAAAAAAAACAATTAATTGAGTTTCTTTCTTTTTCCGGATTTTCAGATATACGTTAAGCCGTCTTGACACGATATGTCGTAAGAATCGTTGAAAACCCTTTGAGCTATTCAGCTAGAAAGTTATAAACAGGTTAAATGTTTTGTGTCAGCCTTCCCACTGTCTTCCTAAATGAGCAATAGTGAGAGGAAAAGATCATTTGGTCTTCAGTAATGGTGCCAACATTCATAGTTCAATTTCCCATCTTCAAAGTCCATTCAAGAACCATCAAGAGGACAGTGAATAAGTTTATAAAAGCGAGAACAGTAGAGAGGAAAACTGGATCAGGAGGTTACAACAGGAAGAGAGATCATGATTTCAACTGAGAGCTAAAGAGATTAATGAGAAATGATTCAATTCAATCCATAAGACGTTTAGAACTTGAAAATGGAGTTTCAATATTGATAGTACAAAGAGCAGTGAAGAAAGGATTGAAACTGAAATTTTAAGTGAAACTTGTGAGGCACCTTGTTACTCCAGAACAAAATGTTAGAGAAGGCGAAAATCATCTTGAATAAATTGGAAAATGATGTTGGAATAATATATATATATATTAGAATTTTATTTCAATCCTTCATAAGTTTCCGATCCCTAGCTACGATTAATTAATGATGAACATATCATTTTCGTTTATTATCTATTTCATCGATATTCTTCTGTTAAGCCTGGAGAGTAATTATATATTCTTATTACTCTATAGTCTTATAGAAACCTCGGAAGATTCCAGTAAGACATCTTTAATCATTTTCTAAAGATAGAACGGTTCAGAAATTTAAATGATAACAAATGGGCAATTTGTTTAATTTTCGACAATTTTTTAACGCATTTGCTATTAATTTTGAATGACCCTTTTCTCCATAACGAATGGTTACTCGATCGAATTATATATATATATATATATATATATATATATATGCTGAATATATATATATATATATATATATATATATATATATATATATATATATATATTATAATATATATATATATATTATATATATATATATATATATATATATAATTATATATATATATATATATATATATATATTATATATAATTATATATATATATATATATATATATATATATATATATATATATGTGTGTGTGTGTGGTAAAAGGAAAATGTGCATTTAGTACTGGAGAAAATTGTAAGTGAAAAGAAGGAACGGCTTAGAAAAAAGTTTCAGATAAAAAGAGATGGAAATAGAAACAAAACTGAAAAGATGCTAAAAGCTGGTGTAATAAAGAAAGAGCGAAATATGAAGAGAAATTTGATATAATTCAGTTGAAAGAAACTGTGGGAATAAAAAGAGAGAAGAATGAAATATACAGTGAGCAAAAGAAAGAAAAATAACTGAATAAAAATGATTTACTGAAATCTGTAACTGGACATGAAGTTATAGCTAAATACAATAGAGCAATTATAAAATATATCTCTACCTAAAGGAACCAAAAAATGAGTCATTTTGGCAGTCTCAGATCCTGTGGATTGTATTTGAAGATGTGACTACTGTTCGTGCCAAGACAAATTTGATCTAAAGATTTGCGGTTTTTTTGACTTAATCATTTCTCAACGCGAAAACCTATGCCAACGATTCACCTTAATGCAGTTATAATCCCATCGATTCCTGCTTTAATACCTTGTACAAATATAGCAAGCAAAACTGCGGATAGAATTCTTTTTCTATTCTTCATTCTCATGTTTCACTGAGCGTTTGTTGGATTGTATTATTGTCCTTTATTTGATACTGGATTATAGATATCGTTTCCAATCCAGTATTCGGTAGTCAGGATTTTTACGTAAACCATGATTAAGAGATTAACCGATTAACACAATATCTTATTCCTTTTCTCTTTTTACAGAAAAAAAATATTGAAGTTATGTTTTCTCTTAACAAAGTTGTAATTATGATAAATTATTTTTTCCTTACAAGTTTCTGTGATTCACGAGACATAGCCAAAATCTTTTTTACGGTTCTTTTTCTTTTTTCGTCTTAAATCATCACCAGATAATTTTAGCTGAGCCTGGACATGTTGAGCAAATTTCCAAATTTGCTATTTATTTCATGCTTAATATTTGAGAAAAAACAGAAATTGCCTGAGTTATAATGCTTTTTTAATCTTT